TTCTTCCAGCTAAAACACCTGCCTGACTGTCGGAAGGAGGCAGCATAAAAATAACATAACTTCTCACTCTCCCTTTGCGAGACAAGACAGTCGTTTTTCTTCAGATACGTGTTCGGCAAATGCAAGCAGCTAAACTCTCGGGAGTTGCATCTCTTTGTGCGTGACTCCATCAGGTGGCAGGTGATGTTCTAGCCCATGCTTGCATGTTTGTTAGCAAAAGATCTCATGACCCACTGGACTGATTTTAGAACGTAACCATTGGATTTACATGTGTAACTGATTACCAATTAAAGATGGCTGCCACGGCTAATCAGCATTAAAAGCCCAAAGATGACGCGTTTACTTGGTGTTGTACCATCCCCATCACATCCTCTGGGAGCTGACTGAGTGCTTGGAAGCTTTGAGTCAGCCCCGTTTGTCTGTTAACTCATTCTCAAACGCGGTACGTGATTTCTTCTAGTGGTATGTAGCAAAACATTAGTAATGTCGCTGAAAGTCTATTAGGCTAATTATTTTAATTAAACTGAGCCGTAATGTCAAGCCAAGCTGAGTGTTTCCAATAGAATTTGTAATGATTAATCAAATTATTCAAATAATTCCAGTAAAAATAATTCTTCAACCCAAAATTTAAAAAATCCAAGCTTTGGGATCTCGTGCAGGGACAGTTTCATACTTTGGTGTAGATTGTCAACAAATGGGGGCTAATGACCAGTGTTCCTCATTAAAACTGTGCATCCTGCAGAACCAAACGGTGTTTGCAGTGCCACCAGACAGGAGAAGGAAACTCTGCTTTAGCAGCCATCTGGCAGTTTTCTGCATTTTAAGACAAAAGGGTTAAAAATTGGACCAATTTATCAATAAAAAACAAATCAAGTTGTTGCACTGCAGTCGTCGTTCTGCAACATCTGTTCAGTTTATATTTAAATTGATCATTAGCGTTATACTTAATGACACTGAGTCTGCTGTAGAACTGTGATGCGTATTGTTTGGCGTATGTTTGCAACGGTGTTCTGATATTTAGAAGTTTCCCCCTGAAGACCTCCTCACCAACATGCAGTAAAACGCAGAAGATGAAGACATCTCCCTCTAGGAGTAATTCTGCTTGTACCTTTATCTCACTTCTCATCAACAGCAAAGTGCATCCCCCTGCAGCGTTTCCACCAAACAGCACAGCTGACCACTGTTTAAAGTCTACAGCATCACTCAGTTCCTGTCTCCCAAGCCACTGATTGAAATCGATAACCTCACTTGGGACTCAAGCGCCAGTCAGTCTAACTGAGGTGTGTGTGTGTGTGTGGGGGGGGGGGGGGGGGGGGGTGTTGGCAGCATCCCCCCCCCCCCCCCCCCCCCCCCATGAGGCGCTGGTCTCTGGCAGAGACAAAGTAGCATGGAGGGAGGGAGGGAACAGACGTACATGGAGCCACATTGAACAGTGTCAGGGCCCCAGGGCCTACTGGGACTCGGATAAAGTACCTGAACACTTTTATAGACAAACTACTTATTTCCGTCCTCATATCGCTTGGGAAGGCAGATAACTTTATATTCCTCCAAGGCAGAGGAATGAAAGGCAGGGGAGTCTTTCAGGAGTTTAATTGATCAAACTGAAGCCACCAGGGCTTTTTTCTTTAGATAAAAGAGACTTAAGCACCATTCTGCTGTACAAGACAGAAAGTAGAGCTAAAAATTACAGATTGTAAGTCATTATGCAAAGTCATTACTGGCCTCTGCCCATAGTTCGGAGGAGGGGTTACTGGTAACACCGTAGAGGTCAAACTACCAGTCATAGGATAAGATTTTTTCAAAAACTCCACATTATTGATTTGAAGGGGCATTTTTTGACAGATCACATTATATCACAAAAAGTCCAAACAACTGAGAGTTTTGACAAGTTTTAGATTAAGCCAACAGTGTCAAGTCAGTACAACAGCTCTAGGTAAAGGCAACTGGACCTCTACCAGCATTTGATCTGCGGCCAAACACAGCTATGGACCATAAACGGGGAGATGGAAGGAGGGATAATGCAGATGGCATTAGCCACAGTGATCATTTAATACCGCTTTGATGCAAAAACCTAATTCATGACAGTTTGCTACTGTGCTTAAAGAATTCCATGCATTCTGCTCTGAACATTGTTGAACCTGCAAGAAAAAGGTTTAGTTTTCATCACCAGCTCCGCTACTATTTCTTTTCTACTTTTTGATTAAGATATTTCAGAATCATTTATTGTGACTCAAAAAGTAGAGAGAAGCCCCGCCAGCAGAAGTTTTAGTAGAATAAAAGGTATAGAACTGAAAATTGATCTCAGATGAAATAGATTTTGCTTTAAAGTTAAATAGCAGTGAAATACAGTTAGCTTTCCAGGCTTTCTAAACAAAAAATCCACATGACGTACATTGTGGCTATAGCTCTAAAATGTGCCCTAAATATATAGCTTGACGCATAAACCTCTCAGTTTCAAAGAGCTCTACCTCAATACAAGGTCCTGCTGTAATGATGTAATGATAATCCTAGATGTCTTCTAGTGGAGGAATGAAGCACTGCGGGTGATTATTCACAATTGTATCTGTATTATTTTCTCTTCTGTATTGTTATACAAGTACAAATGAAAATATAATGGATAATTATTAATTTGTTATATGAGCATTAGCTAATACCTAGATGTTTTACTTAAAAATGTCAGATTATTATTTCATACACCAGACTTTAAATTGCTAACTACTACATGTGAAACAAGATGTCAGTAAATTGAGCCAAACCAGTTGGCTCCATTAAACAGTGGGGAATAACATGGCAATTAGACATTTTTGCAAATTTTATAATGCAAGCACTATGAGAGCCTGTTTTCATCTCCGTATTCAGGTCCAGGTTGCAGGGACAGCCGCTATAGCAGAGAGGTCCAAACTGTCATTTCTCCAGTTACCTCCACCAGTTCCACCGGTGGGATCCCAAGATCCCTGGCCAGTGTGGATATATAATCCCTCCAGTATATCCTGGGTTCACCTTGGGACCTTCTATTATAAATTTTCTCCATGGTGTCTGGGCTCTCCCTTGGAAGTAGGGTGAGAAGCTCGCCTCATCCAGCAGGGGCTCAGAATAGATCAGCTGCTCGTCCGCATCGAGAAGAGACAGTTGAGGTGGATCACGCATCTGGTTAGGATTCCTCTGGGTACGTCCAACCAAAAGAAGGCTTAAGGGAAGATCCAGGACACGCTGGAGGGACTAACTTGCCAAGGAATGCCTTTGGATTCCCCAGAGAAGCTGGCCGAAGTAGCTGGGGAGAGGGAAGTCTGGGCCTCTGCGCTTAGGCTGCTGCCTCTGCGACTCGACACCGGATAAGCGGAACAAAATGGATGGATGGATGGATGGATGGATGGATGGATGGATGGATGGATGGATGGATGGATCGATCTTTGGTCATTGTTTCCCAAAGCCCACGGGTGAGGATCGACTCGTGACTTAAGAATATCACAATAGCTCCAAATACAAATGTTGCTACCAACTTCAACAGACCAGTCTGTCCTAAAAACATATTTATAACACTGTGAGGACCAAACTACTGATTTTAATTAAAAACATGTCTTACTTATCTATTGTTTTTAATTTAACTGCTTTTGCAATATTAGTGATAGTTGTCCTGCAAATATTAGTTTGTGTGACGTAGCAGAGATAATTTCTTGCATGAGATTTTAACAAGTTAAAGGACGAACTGTTACACAAACATATCATAGCTGAACTAAATTACAATGTCCATGGGGGCTAATCAGGGTTAAATGGGAAACTGCTGTGGTGATGCACAGTTTAAGCCAGTGTGGAAAATGTTCAGCAGTCTGTCAGTGCACTATCCTTTACTCACACTTCATTAAGTCCTTCTTGGAGCTTGGAGCCTTAGCAGAGTGCAAGTAATTACAACGTTAGGTTATCACCTTAACATAATAAAATGCTGCTGCATCCAGTGGGCACCAAATCCTCTTCCCTCCTGCTAAATGAGAATGATGTGAACTCTTATAGGAGCGTCCAGAAAACTGCAGCAAACCATCCCTCTGTTGTAGTCCGTCTGGAACTGTGGCACAAACAGCTAAAACTAAATACCTGGATTAGTGAAGGAGGGGGTGGAGGGGGCTCAAATCTCACTCCCACTTTGCATCATAGGATAGACTGCCTTTGTGAGCGCATGGGACAAAATAATAAGCGCTTACCTTTCTCATCCAGGCGACAGAGCGTTCACCCAGACGGACATCCTCCCGATGGAAACCGAGCGGGAGGTCCACGCTTCCGCGAGAAGAAAAAAAAAGAGATACAGATTCCCGGCGTGTCCATTTCTGTCTCCATTGACTGCTGCCTAAAGCATGCAAAGTAAACCATGCAAAACGTTTCGTTTATTGTGCATATCTCGGTCGCAAAAGTTAAGTGTGCAGAAAAGCGGGTTTAAACTCGACTAGGCGAGCACATCCACTGCATGCGTGGATGGGAGGATTTAATAAAGATGCGAGAATGCTTTGGGCTGCAAGAAATGGTGTGATGGCGAGAGGTACGGTCGGGAGAGACAGATCTACATATGGAAATTAGGGCTCGGGTGGTTAAAATTCAGCTTAGACCGCTGAATTAGTTTGAGCTGAATCCAAGTGCATTAACAGAAAAGGCACGGCAAGCCAGTTTACTAGCAATTTTTTTTTTATTAAAAAGTGGACTTATATTTTCTGGGTTATAATTCTCTGTTCCGATTTATACTTGTTAGGTGGGCCCGATAAAACATGATGTAAATATGCTTTGTTTACGCAAATGAAACAGGAAACATGCGGCCGTTTTAACTGCTTAAACTGGGTTAAATGTGCTTAATTTACTCGCTCGAGAAATTATGAGATAAACTACACCAAAAACGGAATTTTTCCACCATGGCGAAAAGGGAAGTGTCAACAGGGTACTATCTTGTACTATGGAATTCAACAGACTCTAGCCACGCCCACTGGGAAACTTCTGACCAATCATCAGACAGAGGGCGAGTTCGCGCCTGCGTGCAGTGAGCGCGCGGGAGAGTCGGAAGTCTGAAACAGTGTAAACAACGGACACGTATTACTAATGCTGCCATGTTTTTATATAGTAATACACCACAGGATCTTCCCTAAAGGAGAAATTAAATGGCAAGTTAACGTTCCGCTTTGTATTTCCGGTGTTTTGTTTGGGGGCATACCGTGGTGTGTTGCGGAAGGGTAAAAGGCTGTTTGTGTTTTGCTCTGGTGTCTCAAACAGTAACGTGAAGTCCTGTCTGTTTTACATACATTTGTTTTGTTAGTTCCTCCCGTTCGTCGTCATCTCAGGTGTTTCTGACAACATGGCGGATGATTTCAGCGAGTCCCTCACTCCTCCAGTCTCCCCCTTTGCAACAGACAGCCAGAATGATCTGGCCTGCGCCCGGCCGCCATGTTTCTGCTGCTCTGAAGTGAAAGATGAGGCTCTGTCCACAGACGGATACATTTCACGAGGGTCCCTAAAACGGTGCAAGCAGCATCTCTTATTTAATAACATGAGGCTTAATTTGGTTAATAATGAATCTGCCTTTGTTATTGAGCATAAATACATTGTGTTAATAATACCGCCTCCTCTCTGAAGGCTGCTGCTGCGTCTTGATCCAGCACCTACAGAGTATGAGAAGGACACGGTGGAGATTTTCGGCTTCCCTTGGGTCACAGAAACGGCTCTGGTTGAATCTACAAAATTACTTTTTGGTCTTTTTAGGTAAGTGGTCATAAAGAGGGCAAAAAAATCTGGAGTTGCATTACTCACTTTGCTCCATTAACACAAAAGTTTAGTGATGATTCACTCAGAGGCAGATGCTTGTCCGCCACAGCTGATAGGATTCTGTGTTTCAGTCAAAAGGTTTACAGACTGGAGAACCTGGTGCAGTCCAACTCACACGACTTTGGTAAGTCTGCATAAATGTAAACCACAATCTCATCTAAAAGCTTTTGTACTTTATCCCAGAAGATCACTATTGTTATTTACTTGTGAATGACCATACTGGGATGTGCACCTATGCTGTGTTTTGTTTGAATGGTGCTGCATAAATTTTCAAAAGTTATAGGAGCCAGATCACACTATTTTAAACCTTTGAAAGCAAAGGTAGGCACAATTTAAGATGAAATATTACCGCTGGCACTATTGAGATGTCATTTATAAGTAAGTAAATATTTATAAGTAAATAACAGTTATTTTCGTCAGACTCAGTTTATACTCAGAACTGACATCAACGTCGGTATCGGCCGGAGTTAGTTGTTTTTTAACTTATCGGTATTGGTCCGATAATAAAACTAAGCCAATATTAACAACCTTTTTTTTTCCATCTTGTTTCTATTTGTTTATCTGTTTCGGGGGGGGGGGGGGGGGGATAATTGCTTAGTCATGTGACCGTGATTGTAATCATTTCAGAAGTGTGTGTGTGGTGTGTGTACATAATGCCATAATCAGCTTTAATCATTTTCATTCTGTACAAAATCTGTTGATTTTAGAGTCATTAATTTCATTATATCCGTTATCGGCTATAACAGTGATATTAATGTCGGATATCGGTACCGACTCAATAATTTCTTATCGGGGCATCACTAGTCCTAGTCCACTGGTTGAAGCGCCTGCCTTTCGTCACGCTGGTTCAAATCCCGCTGTTTGCAGTAATTTATTAAGCCAGCTGAAGCAGATTTCATTTACTTATATTTTAGTTTTATTGATAATTTTCTTCTAAATATTTCTGTCTTTGAATTTGGTCATTTCCAAGCAGCATTTTAGTTGATTTACTCTGCTCATCGCACATGGACTCACACTGGATAAATAAAACAAAGAGAGTAAACCAACACATTAGTCCTTATATTTAATACTAAAGGGTTGATGACATAATACTGGCAAGTGTAGCTAAGAAAGAAGCTGGGCATTATGTAAGAAAGGCGATTTTCCATGATATTAATTAAGATACAATGTTTGTTTTAGGGCTCGACCTATATGCTTTTTTGGGACCGATACCGTTATAAAACTTTTAACAAAGTCTGATAGCCAATATCTCCCTCACAAAAAATAAAAATAAAACATTTCTTAAGCTTAAGCCCTTCATTCTCTACCTTTGTGATGCAAACTTATTTCTCTATTACACACAAAAGAACTGTCTCAATAACTCAAAGTAATGCAAATAGGATTTATTTAGCAGATCTCAAAAACAACAGAACACACAAACTCAGTCACAGCATAAATCTAACATTCAATTTTTTTCTTGTAAACTGTGGTTTCCACAAATACATTTTAACTTAAAGGAATATTCCACCACTCAGTAAAATTGTATCTTGTTAAGATTCCCCAGAGTTCGACAAGTCAGCAAAAGCATTTTATAACCAGCCCAATATGATCTGGCAGCAGTTGGTTTTCTTAGTTTAGCATAAAACAATGTAAGTGAATTCACATACATTGTAGTGTTTTTTTTTATGTAGGTGAATGCAAGCCTTCCCTTCCATTGCTTTATGCTAAATAGTAAGTGTATGTATAATAATAAGTGGTTTTTATAAACACTGTGGACAGCCAAGCGGGGTGCAGCAGTGGCAGTTGCCGAGGCAAAATCTCGGGCGTGGGAGGAGTTTGGTGAGGCCATGGAGAAAGACTATCGATCGGCTCCAAAGAGGTTCTGGCAAACTGTCCGGCGCCTCAGGAGAGGAAGGCAGCAACTCGCTCACACTGTTTACAGTGGGGATGGGGAGCTGCTGACGTCAACTGAGGCTATAGTCGGACGGTGGAAGGAATACTTTGAGGAGCTCCTCAATCCCACCAATGCGCATTCCGAGGAGGAACCAGAGCTGGGAGGCCTGGGGATGGACTGTCCGATCTCGGGGGCAGAAGTTGCTGAGGTAGTCAAACAACTACACAGCGGCGGAGCCCCGGGGGCGGATGAGGTTCGTCCTGGGTATCTCAAGGCTATGGATGTTGTAGGGCTGTCATGGTTGACACGTCTCTACAACATTGCGTGGTCATCGGGGGCAGTTCCTAGGGAGTGGCAGACCGGGGTGGTGGTCCCCATCTTTAAGAAGGGTGACCTGAGGGTGTGTTCCAACTATAGGGGGATCACACTCCTCAGCCTCCCTGGAAAGGTCTACGCCAAGGTACTGGAGAGGAGGGTCCGATCGATAGTTGAATCTCAGATAGAGGAGGAGCAATGTGGTTTTCGTCCTGGCCGTGGAACTGTGGACCAGCTCTATACCCTTGCAAGGGTGATGGAGGGGGCATGGGAGTTTGCCCAACCAATCCACATGTGTTTTGTGGATTTGGAGAAGGCTTATGACCGTGTCCCCAGGGGCACCCTGTGGGGGACACTCCAGGAGTATGGGGTGGGTGGCTTTCTGTTAAGGGCCATTCAGTCCCTTTACCAGAGGAGCGTGAGTTTGGTCCGCATAGCCGGTAGTAAGTCGGACCTGTTCCCAGTGAGGGTTGGACTCCGCCAGGGCTGCCCTTTGTCACCGGTTCTGTTCATCACTTTTATGGACAGAATTTCTAGACGCAGCCGTGGTGTGGAGTGTGTCGAGTTTGGTGGCAGGAGAATCTCGTCTCTGCTTTTTGCGGATGATGTGGTCCTCCTAGCTTCATCCAGCTCTGACCTTCAGCTCTTGCTGGGTAGGTTCGCGGCCGAATGTGAAGCGGCTGGGATGAGGATCAGCACCTCCAAATCTGAGACCATGGTTCTCGACCGGAAAAGGGTGGCTTGCCACCTCCGGGTCGGGGGAGAGGTCCTACCTCAAGTGGAGGAGTTTAAGTATCTCGGGGTCTTGTTCACGAGTGAGGGTAGGAGGGATCGGGAGATCGACAGGCGGATTGGTTCGGCGTCTGCAGTGATGCGGACGCTGAGCCGATCTGTCGTGGGGAAGAGGGAGCTGAGCCAGAAAGCCAGGCTCTCGATTTACCGGTCGATCTACGTCCCAATCCTCACCTATGGTCATGAGCTTTGGGTAATGACCGAAAGAACAAGATCGCGGATACAAGCGGCCGAAATGAGTTTCCTCCGTAGGGTGGCCGGGCTCAGCCTTAGAGATAGGGTGAGGAGCTCGGACATTCGGGAGGGACTCGGAGTAGAACCGCTGCTCCTCCGGATCGAAAGGAGCCAGTTGAGGTGGTTTGGGCATCTGGTCAGGATGCCTCCTGGACGCCTCCCCGGGGAGGTGTTTCGGGCATGTCCTGCCGGCAGAAGGCCCCCGGGTCGACCCAGGACACGTTGGAGAGGTTACATCTCCAATCTGGTCCGGGAACGCCTTGGGGTCCTGCCGGAGGAGCTGGTGGACAAGGCCGGGGAGAGGACGGCCTGGAGCTCCCTAGTTGGGATGCTGCCCCCGCGACCCGGACCCGGATAAGCGGAGGAAGACGAGACGAGACGAGACGAGACTGTGGATCTAACCCCGCTAATTTATGTCCACTAACTCCAGCTGTTTCTGTAGTTTCTGATTCGTCCACCTCACTCAGCATGGCTCTATTAAACACCCGCTCTGTTAACAATAAGTCCTTCCTGCTCAATGATTTAATTCTCTCTAAAAACCTGGATTTTCTGTTTCTGACTGAAGTTTGGCAGCAAACATCTGATTATTCTGGTCTGACTGAACTCTGCCCGAGTGGTTATTGTTTTCTTAGCCAGCCCTCTGGTCGTGGTGGAGACCTAGCTGTTGTTTTCAGAGACCATCATCCATATAGCTCTACAACCTCTGGTCACTTTGCTTCCTTTGAACTGCAGCTGATTAAAGTCGGGCGTAAGGACCCGTTCTACTGTGCTGTGTAGGGTTGTCACGGTAACCGGTATAGCGGTAAACCCCGGTAAAAAAGTTGACAATAAAAATAACCGTCCAGTTTTTAAAAAACTATATTATCTCGGTGGGTTTACCGTGGCCGCGGTTTCGGCGCGATGACCCTTACCAGCCACCGTCGCTTCAGCTGAAGTTCCCGCTGCGCGCACACGCACTTTTTAATTTGCAACGGCACCAAAACTTTGAAGCTGAAATAATGGCCGAAGGAGGCGACGGCAGCGCCCAGGACATCCATCAGCCCTCAAAGAAGACTAAATCGGAAGTATGGGCATATTTGGGATTTCTGAAAAATGCTGAGGGACAGTTAATAGAAGACGGCTATCCCGTTTGCAGAACGTGCAGGAAACAAGTGTCTGCAGAAGGCAGCAACACTTCAAATCTCATGGCACATCTGCGTGACGATCACCCACGTCTCCACAGCCAGTGCAAGGTAAGTTAACATTAGCATTTTAGCTGAAATGCATGACGTGAGGACTTTTGGTTGAGGGAGAATGCAACGAGTCACTATATACTGCAGCCGCAGCGTCCTCTGCCAGCATTTAAACCGTGTCACGGACACCCTGTTGCTGGATGAAGCATCTTATTTGTTGATGATGAAGAGAAATATACAATTAGTTCCTTGTCATTGATTTGTTTACTTATTCAATGCCATTTATACTTGAACATTTGGATGTGATTACATAGTGTAGTAGTTATTTTAGTAATTTGTTTAAAGTGGCTATTTATTTTAAATACATATTTTTTAAGGTTGACTTGTACAGTGCTCAAGTCAAGTGTGGACTGGAGTTTTAGATTTTCATTTTGATAATGAAGAAAACAAGTATATGAGAAAACAAGTGGTGTTTCTTTGATTTGTTTACATATTGTTTATGTTTTGAATGTTTGGATTTGTATAATTTAAACCTGCACTGACTACTGTAACAAGTTCCAGAAAAATAAGCTATTTGTTCCTTTACTTGTGAAAAGTTGCACTTTTGCTAAGGCTTTGTGTTATTTCAGGTTTAATAAACACTGTTAAACCTTTTCAGAACTATTTCAGTTTGTGTAGAACAGGACTATCAATGCTTTCTGAACATATGCAACACCGTTTAAAAAAATACCGCGATAATACCGAAAACCGTGATAATTTTGGTCACAATAACCGTGAGGTTAAATTTTCATACCGTGACAACCCTAGTGCTGTGGTCTATCGTCCACCTGGTCCAAACAGTTCTTTCCTTCAGGAGTTTAGTGACTTTCTATCCTCCACTGTGAAGCTGTCCAGACTGGTGATTGTTGGTGACTTTAACATCCACGTTGATGATCCCTCTGATCACTTTGCCATGAATTTCTCCAGCCTTATGGACTCCTTCAGCTTTACCCAGCATGTTTCTGGCCCCACACACACCAGGGGGCACACTCTAGACCTTGTTTTTACCCTGAGTCTAAATGCTGACAGTGTTTGTCCTGAGGACGTTTATATTTCAGATCACCATGGAATTTTCTTTAACTTGTCAGTTTCTGCGTCCCCACCTCCTGCTCGCCGTGTGGTTAGTTCTCATTTTCTTAATGAGAGCACAGCTAGCAATTTTTCTGCTGCTTTTGATCCACCCTGTTCTTCTGATAACGACCCAGATTCCTTAACTTCTCAGTTTAACAAGCACTGCCTCTCCATTCTGGACAATATCTGTCCTGTCAGAACCAGATCAGTTCCTGCAGTGAACCCTACTCCCTGGTTTAATGACAGCCTTCACAGCCTAAAGCGCCAATGCAGAAAAATTGAGCGCTTGGGGAAGAAAACCCATCTCCACGTCCATCTGCTGCACCTAAAGGATCTTCTGACATCCTTTAACTCTGCATTCAGAGATGCCAGGGTTTCCTATTTCTCCAACCTGGTGTCCCAGAGCAAAGGGAACCCCAAGGTGCTGTTTAACACCATCAGCAGCATCGTCTCTCTCTCCTGCCTCTCCTACAACCTCCATCCACTCTGTTGCAGACGGTGAGAACTTTCTGTCTTTCTTTGTGGACAAAGTCAATAAGGTTAGATCTAGCATCTCTCCTTCAGCCTTATCGCTGCCTCTCCCGACTCAACCAGGCCCATCATCCTAGATAGCTTTGCTCCTGTTTCTTTGCCTGAGTTAACCAAACTAGTTAACTCTATGAAGACCTCTGCATGCCCCCTCGACATCTTACCCTCATCTTTGTTTAAAAGTGCTTTTCAGTCCATCTGTCCCAGCGAGCTTTCTATAATTAATGCTTCTCTGGTTTCTGGTCAGGTCCCTGCTTACTTTAATAATGCTGTAATCCACCCGCTTCTTAAAAAACCGAGTCTCGACCCCTCTCTCCATTGCAGCTTCAGACCCATCTCTAAACTTCTGTTCATCTCCAAGATCTTGGAAAAGGTTGTGGCTAAACGACTCACAGCTGCTCTTGATGAACATAACATCTATGATTGCTTACAGTCAGGTTTTCGTAGAGCTCATTCTACTGAAACAGCTCTTCTTAGGGTCTCTAATGACCTTCTGACTCACAGTGATGCAGGGGACTGTTCTGTTCTGGTCCTGCTGGACCTGACTGCAGCCTTTGACACTGTTGACCATCACCTGCTATTGGAGAGGCTGAGAGACTGGGTAGGCCTATCAGGAACTGCTCTGGAGTGGTTCTCCTCTTATCTTTCTGAGCGCTCCTTTTCTGTGGCCATCTCCAAGTTTAGGTCCTCCACCACCTCTCTTACCCATGGTGTCCCACAAGGTTCTGTGCTGGGGCCTCTGCTCTTCCTCCTCTATCTGCTTCCTCTTCAGCACATCCTGAGCTCCTTCAAAGGAATCTCCTACCATCTTTATGCAGATGACATCCAACTGTACATCTCCTTTAAGCCCCATGAGATGTCTAAGCTGCAGCTGTTACACACCTGCTTAGACTCTATCAAAACCTGGATGGCTGGGAGCTTTCTTCAGCTGGATGAAGATAAGACTGAGATCCTCATCTGTGCCCCAGACAAGCTGGTTCCCAAAGTCAGAGACTCTTGGTCAGCTTGCTTCCCACACCAAACCTTCCGTCAGGAATCTTGACGTGACCTTTGACCCAGCTCTCACCCTGGATTCTCATGTCAGTTCTCTTGTTCGCTCTTCCTTCTTCCATCTCAGGAACATCGCTAAGCTGAGTCCCATTCTGTCCTGCTTTGAACTTGAGACAGTTATCCACACCTTCATCTCCTCACGCTTAGACTACTGTAACTCTCTTTTCACGTGTCTGAGCAGAGCCTCCCTGAACCGTCTACAGGTGGTTCAGAATGCCTGTGCTCAGCTTCTGACCAAGTCCTCCAAACACACCCACATCACCCCGCTTCTCCTCCAGCTTCACTGGCTGCCAGTCAACTTCAGGGTTCATTTCAAGATCCTGGTTCTGGTCTATAGGGCCTTACATGGACAAGCACCATCTTACATTGGTGATCTTCTTAGTCCCTACACCCCCAGCAGGTCCCTGAGGTCCAGTGATCAAAGCCTACTGGTTGTGCAGCACCAGGCTAAAGACCAAAGGTGACAGATCATTTGCTGCTGTGGCCCCCAGACTCTGGAACTCTCTCCCCCTGAGCCTGAGATCAGTGGACTCAGTGGTCTCCTTTAAAAAGCAGCTGAAGACTCACTTGTTCAAGCTGGCTTTTGTATGACCTTCTTCACCACTCTCTCTTTATTCTGCTCTCCCCACCTATTCCACCTTCCTCAGGATCCACTGATTTCCCTCTTTTCTACTCTCTCTTTCTTTACATTTTGTTTTTTAATCACAGTTGTCTATTTTTTGCTCATTTGAAATATATTTTTAACCATTTTCTAAATTATTTTTTATATTTTTACATTTTTTATTTTTATGAAGCACCTCAGGATTTTTATCTTGAGAGGTGCTATAGAAATGATATTTTCTTCCTCTAAAACATCTGGTTACAAAATGTTTTTTTCTGACTTGGCTAACTCTGGGGAATCTAACAACACACACAAGTTTAGGGACAGAAGATCCCTTAAGAATATTAAAATAATAAAAATGCAGCAATAAATAAAACGTAATACTTGTGCTTTGTAACAAAGTAACACTCTGAGGAAGTTAACTTGGTTATTCACCCTGGACCGGAAATAATTGCACATAAGAAACGTAAATAAGAATAAATAAATAAAAAGTTCCAAAACAATAATTCGTGTTCATAGTTCAAAGGAGTGGAGCCACACAACATGAGTTCATAAAGCTGGCGCCATCTGCTGGATAGGTAGCGCAATATCGGCCGTCTTTTTGGCCGATAGCCGATACTGTTAATGCCCCCAATATCGGCCGATATATCGGTCGGGCTCTAGTTTGTTTATTTGGTGCTCAATATTTATCGTGAATTGACTAAAATATTTCATTTGTAAGGATTTAATATAAAGTGTTTTTGTTGCCCCAGGGCAAGCAGGCAGTCTTCACTATGAGGCTGAGGACTTCGACAACAGTGTGTTTGGTTTCTGCAGTACATCAAAGTCTTCTTGCACAGGTATCCACAAATGTAATGTTCACAACATCAACAACAAAATTTCAGTGTGTTTGCAGATGTTTCTGTATTTCTGTATTTATTTGGATGTCTGGTCTGTGTAGATTTCTGGAACCTTCAGTGTCTCTGGATGCAGCTCACCCACACCTTATGAGGAGCTGGAGAGTCAGTTCCCCTCTGCTCTTCTGGAGAACTGTTTAGCATCACCCTCCTCACAGGACGACTCAAGGACCTGCCTGCCAGTGTTCAAAGCTCCTTCTGCATACAGAACCATGGGAGGGTACAGCCGAATGTTGTTTTTCCTGCATGAAACAGACTCCAGCTCAGACGGTGTATAGAGGGCGTGTTGCATAGGAACCAGCTTGCTTTAAAGTGGGAAGAGCGGGGGGTGTAGCAGAGCTCGGAGAACCGTATCAAATGAGAGGAAAGCCGAAGCCTCTGTAGATTTTTCTGTCATTGAACTCTAACTTCTCGCTCGTTCCTCCCACAGATTCTTCCACCCTCTTGGCATTTGTTGCACCTTCATCTTGACGTACACTGGTCGGTTCTGGAGATCTTGCACACACTTGGTCAGAAGATGCGAGGTTCGTGGACAGATCCCTCAGACAGAAAAAATAAGAACTAGCCGTGTTGACTCGCACCATATGGTATATTGTGTGTGTGTGTTTTATATTGAGTCATTATTGCAACTACCTCCAGGACAGGTGGTTTACGCCCCACCGATTTGTTAACCTGACCGGGAGAACCTGACGGATACCAGCCTGTTTGAGGAGCACCTGCGTGCTCTGCTGTGTGACCTCACCGGTCTGGCCATGGGCAAATACAACAAGGTGAGTGGCCCGTTGCGTTTCACATTGTGTGTTTTTGAAATGTTTTCTTGCTCAATAAGTACTGATTTTATGTGATTGCCGCATTAAGAATACGACCAGCAGAAACTGCCTCTAACCTGCTGATTTGTAGGTGAGGCCCACGGATGCACTGAGCAGCAATCATTACTCTTGCCTCTGCACCAAAGAGCTCTGGGTCCTGCTCATGCACCTCCTGCAGCACAGGAGCAAAGTGCTGCGCACAGAGGTAGTACACACAGGTGGACCATCACACAATAAATGGCCGCTGTTTGATTATCCAATGCGTGTGTCTTCTAGTCCTTCTGGAGCTACATGAATTCCCTGCTGAGGCCCCTGGTTTCAGGGAAGCCTGCTGCGGAGAATTCCAGTGTCTTCCCTCACACTGTAAAGACCCTGTGGGCTTTACCTGGTGGCTGATAACTCACCTGGCCATGCTGGGTCAGTACGGCCGCAGCGGCACTGGTCTAAAACGAGGTAAGAGACCGAGAGTTGCAAAACTTGCTGGGAGAAAAAGTCTGCGACATAAATAAAAAAGGGTTTGACAGATTCAGAGGGAAATGAAGTCTGGGTAATTAACTGTTCTGTTTGGTGTTTAATAGTTAAGGAAGCGCTGTCTGGGACTTTCACCAACTGAACGGATATTTTAGTTGTTTAAAAAAATTAAGTGTTTGTTTTCAATATAGTTTTTGAATGATGAAAATACTTTTATCAGTAGTAATAAATAATCCCATTAGCCTTTTATTTTCTCCGTTAAATTTTTTTCTTAACATATTGAATGAGAGTGATTTTGAAAGCAGAGCAGATGAGTCGGAGGTTGTCATATGTTCTGTCCCGTTTTCTTTTTACACACTCAGAAACATCTGGGGCACAACTGGACGTTTGTGGAGGAGTTGCTCCGGTTAACCTGCAGCCCAAAGGTCAGCGAGGCCTCTGCCTTTATCTGTTTTCTGTCGTCGGGTAAATCAGTCAGAAACCTGGTTTGTGTTTTACTGATAGGATGGTCTAGCAGAAGAGCAGGTCAGGATGCACGTCCACTGCTGCCTCAGTCTGTGTCTGCTGTGGGAGCCGAGCACCTCGGCCGTCTCAGTCCTCTGGGATTATTACAGCAGGAATCTGGTAAGCACAAAAACAGAATGGGATGCAGCCGTTCTTTAGGGCACAACATCAGTAAAACCTGACTTTCATCTACGCATGATTGTAAAACATTTCTGCTTGGCCTCCGTTAGCTGTCTTGTAAATTTGATCACAACCCTTTTGAAGAATGCTGCTTTTGTTTAGTTGCATCCTCCTCACTGTTGAATGTTAATTTTAGAAATGAATGCAGCACATTTCCGTTTTGACCAGGGTGCTTGTAATTGTTATCCTCACCAGAATGGCTCCTTTATCGTGCCCTGGTTGGGGGTGTCTGGTCTGGGAACGGTGTGCAAAACGCCTCTGGCTCTGTTGGAGCAGGCACGCAGCTGCTGCGCTCCCTCTCCCTCTGCTCTCCAGGTCACACCCAGCTCTATAGCTCTGCCAACTCCTTCCACATATTCCTCCGAGTCCTGGCCCTGTGCCTCTCCCAGGACGGGGCCGGTGGGGTCCCACAAAGGCAGATCAAAGGGAGGTAAGAACGGACAGACGACAAGTTTCCACCATAACAAAACTGATCTTGGAAGCGCGCAGCCATCTCCACACCATAAGATGGGGTTTGGAGAATT